ATCCCAAACAGTACTAAAAACCTCAAACTCACAGCCAAAGAAACCAAAGATACACAGAGCCACCTACACTAAACCTAGCAGAAAGCAGCAAACCATGCTGGGACTTAGAGCTACAACCTGCCACAATCAAACACAGACAATACCATACAAACACTATAGCACAACCACTGAATAGTACAAATCACTTGGACCACTGAACCATAAGACCTACAACAAGTTAAATGTACCATGCTTATTTTTTCCAATAACATAAAGCATGGTTAACAGTACTTGACTAAAAAGTAAAAACTACGCAATAAAAACTACACAAATTATCTCTACTATCCAATCACATCACACACTATTAGTATGGATCAAAATACAAATAAAATATTCAACAGAGGATTAATTCCGATTCATGATTCCTGCAATTCTGATTCATGATTCCCGCTTGATATCCCGACCCGACCCGCCGGCAGCGCTACTCGGGTCCCACGGGCGGGTGGGTCCGGTGTCACCCACGCCGCGAGATCCATCCTCATGAGGCCGTACGCGTCGCCCCACGCGCCGCCGTCGTCGACCGAGTGGTACTTCCCCGTCGTCAGAGAATAAAACACGGCGGCGCTCGCGTCCCCGGCCAACCTCGGCAGGTAAACCCTGTTGTTGTTCCCGTTCCTCCCCAGGCACCAGAATGACGACGCGTGGCTGAGGTACAGCGCCCTGTCCCCGACGTCCTCCACCGGCACCCACCTCACGCGGCGGCGCTCCTCCGCCTCCGACAGCCTAAACACCATCACCCTCCCCTCATCGTGGAAAACAAACACCCCCACGAGCGCTCCGTCGATCCTCAGCAGAAACTGATCCTTGATCTTCGTCTGAGCCCAGTGACCCCGCCGCCGCCCGAGGCACCTGGCCCGAACCACCCACCGGCCCGACTCGGGGCAGAAGATCCCGACGTCGCCATCCACCCCCAGGAAGCAGATCCGGCCGCGGTGGGCGACGGGGGCTACCTGCGAGGCCAGGAACCGGCGCTTTCCGGCCTTGACGTTTGGGTACTCGTTGACCGCCCACTCCATCTCGCCGTGCCGGAGCAAAGACACCCGAACGGGACTGTCCTTGATGTTAACCATCGAAATCCCGACCACGACGCATTCTGACGAGGTCGGTGGCCGGACAAATCCGACGGTCGTGAAGTGTCCGGGGCTGAGCGGGAGGTGGATCCGCCGCAGGCCAACATCGCCGCCGCCTAGAGGGTTGAAGAAGAAGAGGGTAATGTTGTCGGGGAGGGACACAAGGAGCCAGCCGTGCCGGGCGCAGCGGATCTCGGCGTGCTCGAGATCGGGAAAGGTCAGGTTGAAGAAGGAGTTGTGGTGGAAGAATCGCCACGTGTATTTGGTGCGGTGGTAGTACATGAGGCAGGGCGAGGGGCCGTATGGTGACGTGGCGGCCGCGGAGTTCCAGAGCTTGCACACACGGCTGAAGCTATGCCTTTCCGTCGCCGTCATCTTTGACAGTATCAGGTTTAGGAGGTCGTAGGGAAGGTCGGCCCAGTCCCTAACGCTAGCAGCCATCTGTTGAAGACAATTATAATTACAATAATAATTAATCAGACAAATAAGTATATCTTAATAAGATACAAAACCAAGGCGAGAGAGAGAGAGCTATATATTGTGCGACCAAATTGCGATTTTACTAGTCTCTAGTCAAGTTGTGTCTGAAAACAGACCTAAATTTTGGGATTCCTTTTTATTTTAGGAAAATTGACCTTAATTTTAGGATGACATGCCATAATTAAATGCATACATACATAGTCCTACCTGAACTCCACCTCTTCTGTGTCATAGGATGCCTTTTATTTTAGGTGACAAAATATAAATTTTGTCCGGACAATATAGTCTTTCCTTATAAGAATTCCTATATCATATCAGTTTATAAATTCATACCCATACATATATAATTGTTGTTCAATTAAATACAGCCAACAAGCAAAAACCTTTTTTTTTTTTTTTTTTTTTTTGTTNAAGTTGATTATCATTGCCGTATCATCACCATATCTTAAATGGAAGGTGATCATGAGACAAGGAAAAGAAAAGAAAAACCTCCCCAGCTCTTGATACTCCACGGGAGCCTAAAATCGAAGCAGACCTTATACGACTTGGAGGAGAGAAGGTACAGCAAGACGAGCATTCCTATTATGTGCAACAAGTCGGTGCTCCCCTCCGGATTCGGGTGGCTGGCCATTATAGACAGTACCCACGACGACTGCTGCCTCTGGAATCCGAAATCCTCCGAGACTGTCCCTCTCCCCACGCTGCCCGACTATTATCTCTACAATCAGTGTGTCCTCTCCGGGCCGCCCACCGAGCCCGGCTCCTACATCATCTTCAACTTCTCGGGCGGCGGCACCCAATCCTTCTGCAGGATAAGGGTCGACGACTCGTTTGTGACGCGTGTCGAGGAAGCATTCGATGGCAACGTAGCAGAAGAGGAAGACAAAGTCGAGTTTGTGAAGCGGTGCCTGGAAGCAGGAATGTATAGAGTGAATGCAGTCGTGAGTTTTGAGGGGACGATCTACGGGGTCGTGGAAACTGTACTAGGGCACACAGTGGTGACGGTCGGCCTTGATAGTGATGGGAATCTCGATGTGAGGCCGGTTTTGACGGAGGAGGGGGGATTCTTGAGTGTCCCACAACCTTGGTCGGATCGTGTGACGAGGGAACGGTACTGGCTGATCGAGTCGCCATGTGGCAAGGACCTCCTTCTGGTTTCTAAGATGTTTATGGGGCACCACTATAACAACGGGTTTGAATTCATGGTTTTTCGAGTGGACCTAAACCGGAAGGAGTGCTTCCAAGTGGAGGACTTGGGGGACGTGGCCATTTTCATCGACGTCTATGGAGGCGGGTTTTGTCGCTCAATCAGTCCCTTGGAGAACGGTGTGAGGCCCAACTCCATCTACTATACGGAAAGAATGGGCCGGTGTTTGTACGCCCACGACTTGAGCTACAGGAGCACCACCACTTTGTTAACGTGTCCGGACGCTGGCCGCTACTTGGCGACTTCGCTTTGGATGGAAGAGAGCCTTCTCGATCAATGGTTTTTTTAAGTAATTAATTTTGACATGTACAAATATTTTGGAGAAAATTACAATTTTAGTCTCGTATGTTACACTACTTTAACTTTTTCGTCCTCTTCAAATTGCGTTTTTTAGTTTCGTCTCGTATGTTTGTAAAAAAATTACAAAAAGATCCTTTTCATACATAAGGGACAAAATTGAAACCTTTTTTTGCAAAACATAAAAGACCATTTTGTTGCGAAAAAGATATTTTTGTAACCTTTTTGCAAACATACGGGACGACCAGGCCTTCGAAGCCTGTGATTGCCACGATCCACCCCCGTCAGTTTGCACGCAGTTCCGGCGGCAAAGCCACGGTGGTCACGCCGGCGGTTGCCTGGGCCCGATTTGGATCGGGTCTTCGAGGTTCGTTGATCCTTTGTGATCTCCAGGTCATCAACACACGATCACAACTCGAAATATATAATATAAAATTACATAATTCGATCCTAGATTCAACGAATGGATGTACATGTTTTCTAAACAACCAATTAATAAATTTATCCGATCAACACCCGAGCAAATAATTATTACAAACATTCATCCATTAAATTCTTCTACATGTCCAAGGTTTTAAAAACAAATTAAAACCATTCATCACATTCAACAACATTCATCAAACACATATACGACCATAATAGTGTATTAAACTAATTCCTGCAAAACCGAGTTATGCAAATATAAACCAATATATCTGGCTGCGTTTGAACACATCTTGTCAAATAAGGCCGTAGAAATTCAAACTTTGTACAAAAAGAATTAACCAAGTGCTTTGATACCACTTGTTGAGATCTATGAGGATCTCGTCAAATCATGAATTCAATAGCAAACGTAAACCTAAGTGCAATGGATATAAAGGTGTGACGTAGGAAACTTACGGCTTAAAATTTTCTGAATCTGACAGATTCGAGATGACCGAAGCAGCACGTCACGAGGAAGCCAGAATATCGCAGGTGGCGGAGGATGACGGTCGTGTGGCCGCGGTTGGGTCGCCGGAGGCTGGCCGTACATCGCGCGGGGCTGGCGATCACGTGCGACGGTTGTGTGGCTTGTGGCGGCGGTCGTCAGCTGTGCATCTCCGGCGTTGATGAATATATGTCTCGGTTACCTCGAGATCTTCTACTGTATTACTTAAATACCTCTTCAACTTGTATCGGTGGAACAACAAGAAGAAGATAAAGCTCGAATGGAATTATAGAGAGAGAAGAGAGAGAGAGACGGCGTGCGTGTATATCTGCATGATGGGAATTTCTGTTCTCTTCTGTTTCTATTCCATGAGCTTAATGATGTATATATAGAACTACAATAGGGATCCTTAGTGATGGGATATATGAGAATCTCGTTATGTACAAGTTACAAATCCAACAACAAACGTAAACCTATGCGCAGCGGATCTCAAGGTTTGACGTAGAAAACTTACGGCTTAAAATTTTCTAAATTTGTCAGATTTGGGATGACTGGAAACATCACACGAACGGAACTATATCACACGAACGGGAAGGTGGGATCAGACCGTGTGAATTGATCGGGTCGTGTGTGATGGATTGTCGGGCCGTGTCGCTTCGGCTTATCGTTGCGAGCTCTTCAGCGGGTCGCGATCGGATCTCCGGTCGGCGGCGGTTGCTCTGGTTTGTTGGGGTCGACGATCCTCGAGCTCCGGGTCGTGGATCATCGACTTCTGCAGAAGATCACCGGGTCTCGAATACCTTTGGATCTTCTATTGTATTACTCAAACACCTCTTCTTGTACCAGTGAAGCAACAAGAAGAAGATAAAGCTCGAATGAGAACTGAGAGAGAGAGAGGAGTCGTGCATTTGACACGAGTTTTAGCAATTCTGTTCTCTTCTCATGAGCTTAATGACGTATATGTAGAGCTACAGTAGGGACCCTTAGAAGATTAGGAATAAGACTCCTTAATTAATTGGACTAACTGTGGGCCAAGCACACTCCTCTAATTAATTAAATAATATGATGGACCACCAGCATAATATTATTGCACTCCTTTTCCCTAGTCTAAATTACATTTGAGACTCCAATTATAATTACCTGATTTACCTCCCCATGTTTAAAATGTAATGTCCATTAATTGATTCGATTACTGACAATCAAGAATTAATTAATATATTATTATTTCATCGAAGCTAGCGCTCGTTCATCACATTATTATTATTCCGGAACTTAATCCACCTGCAGCGTTTAGCATAACAATCATCCATTAACTCACTCTGATGACATCATCAAACTAACGCACATGGTGACCGTAAATATCCTAACACATCCTACATACAGCAATATTACCCAAGACAGTAGGAATATTAATCAAGCGAACTGAACCTCACCCAAGTGAATCAAAATAATATGTACTGCATATATATGTCTGTTTAATATTTTACGGGTTAAGAGAACGCAGTAATTAGCCGAGGCCTAGTTCGTTTACGACGATCAGTATAAAACGAACTTCTCATCTCTAGGATCCTGTTCAATACATAAATGTACTAGTGCAACTAATCAGTCAAGACCAAGTGTACCGTTGACACTACAACCGTTCGGATGGGGTGTTCATTTCCATCTAGGTTGTGAACCACAATTCTTGTTTCGCAAGTAACTGATAAAATGATCTTCTTTTCGCCCGATGGTGACCCATTCTATCTAAATGCAAAACAACATAACATATAACTTGTTTAATCTAACATAATTTTCATTTATTAAGGGTAAAAGTGTAATATCATCCAAAGCCAACCTTTCAGTATATAACGCCATCACTTAGGAGAATAGAACTAGGGCTTCTTAAGTAATGGACTAATTGTGGGCCAGACCCGCTCCTCTAATCACTTAAATAATATTATGGTCCACTAACATAATATTATTGTACTCCCTTTTTCTATCTCAAATTATATTTGAGAATCCAATAATAATTACTCAAATTACCTCCCAATGTTTAAGATATAATGTCCATTAATTAATTCAATTACTGACAATCAATAATTAATTAATGTATTATATTACCAAAGCTAGCGCTTGTTCATGCCATTATTATTATGCCGGAACTTAATCCACCTACATGGTTTAGCATAACAATCATTCATTAACTCACTTCAGGGACATCATCAAACTAACGCACATGGTGACCGTAAATATCCTAACATTACATCATACATACAACAATATTACCCAAGACAGTAAGACTATTGATACAACGAATATAACCTCACCAAAGTGAATCAAAATAATAAGTATTGCATGTATATGTCTGTTTAATATCATACAGGTTAAGAGAACGCAGTAAATAACCGAGGCTTAATTCGTTTACGACAATCAATATAAAACGAACTTTTCGTCTATGGGATTCTGTTCAATACATAAATGTACTAGTGCAACTAATCAGTCAAGACCAACTATACCGTTGACACTACAACAGTTATGATGGAGTGTTCATTTATATCTAGGTTGTGAACCAATAATTCTTGTTTCGCAAGTCACTGATAGAATGACATTCTGTTCACCCGATGATGACTCATTATATCTAAGTGCAAAACAACAGAATATAGAACTAGTTTAATCGAACATGATTTTCATCCATAAAGCGTAAAAGTGTAATATCATCCAAAGACAAACTTTCAGTATATAACACTAACATCCACCACTCAGAACCAGAACGCACCACCCAGTTTGAACAGTCGACAGTTGGATTGTTCAGATAAGTGTCCCACCATAAGTCGCCTTGGATGTAATAAATCCATCCGGAGACTGGTACGTGTCCAATCAACTTTTTCTTCTTTTGGGTATAAATAGCCCTACTATGCAATGATTAAATATACCGTACCCTCGGCCGATAATTCCAGATACCGGCCATTAGTACGGTACAATTATACTCAAAATACAGAATTTATGGTGACACCAGTTTTTTTTTTTTTTTTTTTCGAAACGACAGAGGTACTATATTAATAAAAACCGCACAAAGTGCGAAAATAAAGCAGCCTGACCGCGCGTCGCAACGCGGCAAAATTAATATTTATATTTTTCCTCAACTAACCTCTACTAACTAGTAGTAGTGGCGAGCAAGGGTCGATCCCACGAGGAGTGTGAATCAAATCGTGAATTTTCTCGTATTAATTGAAATTATAAACAGCGATAAATGGGGGGGATTGGTTTAAAAACTAAACTTATTAAAAACCCTAATAAACAAAGGAAATAAAAATAAAACAGAATAAATAAAGGGAAAGCTTCTAGTTCACGGTTCTGTCTACACCCTCAACTGACTCGTCTAATCAATTCTGGTACCAAATCTCGCTATCTTATGAAATTACTAGCCCTAGGCAACGACACGGTCTGTTACCCGAATTTTTCCTTATTTTTAATTTAACCGCGAGACGCTCGACGATTAAACCTGACTTCTTGTACAGTCCGGAAAAACGTTTTCAAGATTTAATACAATTAGCCGCTTTACGATTTAGAAAAATAGGCTAGACTAATTAGTGATCTCAACCGCGTTCGTTCACTTAATTAGGCCGTGTTATCCTCGGTAGTTACCATCTTCCGGTTACTTCTTATGAATTAAATACAACAACAATTACGGATTGCAGGTTTAATTCAGATGTAGATATGAAAAGCCTAATCTAGGTGATCAATCTAAACAAGACTAACACATCATGGTGAATTATTCAATATAACACAAATAATTCCAAAAAGACAACTCAATAATCAACCATGAAAATTAATCAAACATCGTCAAGTACGTAGGGTTCGACTTCCCCGGAACTAGAAATAAAAACTACTCTAACATAATAAATAAATAAAAGAAAGAGAATAAGAATATCTCCTTTCGTGTGCGTGTGCGGTCTCCCTCCGCTATTGATTAGGGTGCTCTCGTATTCCTTCTGTTCGCGTGGGTGTCCCTCTGTTCACATGTTTTCTGTCTGGCGGCTCTAAAAATTAATTCTCCTCTCCAAAAAAATTGATATGCGTAATTCTCTTTTTCGTGTGACACACGGCTTTTTGTCCTTTTTTCGGCTTGATTCCCCTGCGTAACTCTCCTCAAATTGTGATGGGTCACTTAATAAAACCCAAATGGGCCCTCTACGAGAATATGCTGGGCCTATTTCTCAATTCAAAATCCTCTCAAATCAATGTAGAAAGTGGCGTGAATGGGCAGCCCAATCGATGAGTCATGCATGTCACTTTTGGTTTAATCTTTTAACAAGTGGGCTTAAACTTTGACAGGTATGCGACAGTAATTGATCGTACAATGTTTCGTGTCCAGAAAATACTCCAATAAGCTAAAAATAAATATAAAATAATCAAAGCAAATGAATCCATCTAAATAATGAATAAGTCAAAAAAACATATAAGTGCGATAAAATTAAGCATATAAAAATACGCTAATAAATATATAAAATGCACACTTTTTCCCGACCAATCACAGCCAAAGGCTGAATAGTACAACCAGAGACTAGAAAATTGGGAGGCAGATCCGGAGATCGCCTAGAGCCGACCCCAACAGGGTAATACTCGGGGAAAACACTAAAAACACAACCACAATAACCAACTATACAAACAAAACTAGAAAAGATCCCAACGGGATAATACCCGAGTGTCTAATCCCAACAGGATAATAAGTTGACACTCGGGCTCACAGGGGAAACTGCCCAAACTAAAAACACAAGATTGAATAACACAATGCAAACAAACTAAAAACAATCCTAGAACAAGCAAAAACAACTAAAACTAAAGAACGACAGCCCTCCCTCAGCAACGCATCCGGAATGAACAGCGGACATAGACCGATCCCAAAGAGAGATGCAAAGCACAAGAACTCAAATCCATTTAAATGTACTGTAAAAACATATTCCAATGTACATAAGAACTCAAATAACATTTGCAAATTTTTTTATCATTTGTTCTTACATACTCCGTGTTATTAAATTAAAAATTAATCATTCACTTAATACTAAAATAAATTAAATACACATTATATGCCGGCTGTGCTAGGCACAGCCGATAGGAGATTACTAGTTATAATAATAATTAATCAGACAAATAAATATATATCTTAATAAGATATAAAATCAAGGCGAGAGAAAGCTATATATTGTGCGATCAAATTGCGATTCTACTAGTGTATAGTCAATTTGTGTATGAAAATAGATCTAAATTTTGGAATTCCTTTTTATTTTAGGAAAATTGACCTTAATTTGGGGATGACATGCCATAATTAAATGCATACATACATACTCCTACATGAACTCCACCTCTTCTGTGTCATAGGATGCCTTTTTATTTTAGGTGACAAAATATAAATTATTTCGTCCGGACAATACATAGTCTCTCCTTATAAGAATTCCTATATCATATCACAAAATATAAATTATTTCGTCCGGACAATACATAGTCTCTCCTTATAAGAATTCCTATATCATATCAGTTTATAAATTCATACCCATATGTAACTGTTGTTCAATTATATACAATCAACAAGCAAAAACCTTTTTTTTTTTTTTACTAGAAAAGTTGATTATTGTCATTGCCGTATCATCACCATATCTTAAATGGAAGGTGATCATGAGAGGAGGAAAAGAAAAGAAAAACCTCCCCAGCTCTTGATACTCCACGGGAGCCTAAAATCGAAGCAGACCTTATACGACGTGGAGGAGAGAAGGTACCGCAAGACGAGCATTCCTATTATGTGCAACAAGTCCGTGCTCCCCTCCGGATTCGGGTGGCTGGCCATTATGGACAGTACCCACGACCACTGCTGCCTCTGGAATCCAAAATCCTCCGAGACTGTCTCGCTCCCCATGCTGCCCAACTACTATCTCTACGATCAGTGTGTCCTCTCCGGGCCGCCCATTGAGCCCGGCTCCTACATCATCTTCAATTCCTCGAGCTACTCCACAGAATCCTTCTGCAGGATAGGGGTCGACGGCTCGTTTGCGACGCGTGTCGAGGAAGAACTCGACGACGACGTAGCAGAAGAGGATGACGAAGACGAGTTTGTGAAGCGGTGCCTGGAAGCAGGAATGTATAGCGTGAATGCAATGGCGAGTTTTGAGGGGACGATCTACGGGATCGTGGAAACTGTAGGGCACACGCTGGTGACGTTCGGCCTTGATAGCGATGGGAATCTCCATGTGAGGCCGGTTTTGACGGAGGAGGGGGGATTCTTGAGTGTCCCACACCATTGGTCGGATCGCGTGACGAGGAAACATTACTGGCTGATCGAGCCGCCACGTGGCAAGGAGGAGCTCCTTCTGGTTATTAAGATGTTTACGGGGCACCACGCGTACAACGGGTTTGAATTCAAGGTTTTCCGAGTGGACCTGAGCCGGAAGGAGTGCTTGGAAGTGGAGGACTTGGGGGACGTGGCCATCTTTATTGATGCCTATGGACGCGGGTTTTGTCGCTCAATCAATCCCGGTGTGAGGCCCAACTCCATCTACTATACGGAAGGAATGGGCCAGTGTTTGTATGCCCACGACTTGAGCTATGGGAGCACCACCACTTTGTTGACGTGTCCAGCGGCTGGCCGCTACGTGGCGACTTCCCTTTGGGTGGAAGAGAGCCTTTTCGATCAATGGTTTATTAAGTAATTAAGTAAATAATTTTGACATGTTAGAAATATTTTATTGTCCTTTCACATGTTTCTTTCTTAAATTTTGACATGTTGAAATAGTTTATCGTCCATTCACATGTTTCACGTTTGAGACGGTAGTTGCGCATAATTAAAGAAAATTTAAAAAAATTATAATATATATTCTTATACATTATGGTGGGCATAATTACATTGCCCACCATAATTTATAAGAACATATATTATAAATTTTTTAAATTTTCTTTAATTATGCCTCTTTGTAGCAAAGATCCACATTTTGGATATAAGAATATATATTATAAATTTTTTAAATTTTCTTTAATTATGCCTCTTTGTAGCAAAGATCCACATTTTGGATAGACACTAGACGTCAAACTTAGCAATAATTTTAAAAAAATTATTAAATAGAATATATTAATCATTAGTTGCAGGATAAAGGTTGGATTATTGAAATTTATCACGGTCTCGGCGTGGGCTAATTAAGGACTAAAAATATAGCATATAACTTTCGATGAAAATTTGACTGAGAGAACGTACTCCAATCGACTAAAAAATGGGTATATGACCGTTTCGACGAGAAAAACTCAATGGTGGATCATATTATTGAAACTAAGGCGACACTACACCAGAATTAGGCCAAATATCAAACAACTCAAATTATTTTGAACCAAATATTGAGTAGGCAAATGAAATATAATTAAGCTACAAATTTGTGGTAACTGAGATTCTCACAATAGAAAAAACATGAATGTTGTATATAAAAAAATGTTTAATAATATTTAGATTTACTTTCTCAAATTGTTTTTTTTATTAATTAATTTATAATTATTTATTTTTTTTTGTATTTTTAATTCCTTTATCTTCTATTATNCTAGAGATGTTAAACGGGCTAGCCCTAGCGGGTTTCGGGTTAAACGGTCCGGGCCTAAAAAGCCCGGATTTAAACGGGCTACCAAAAAAAGGACCTAACCCTAACCCTATTTGGGCTAAACGGGCTATGCGGGCTATGGCTATAATAATAATAATAATATATAAAAAAATAAAAAATAACAAGAGTAAAAATAAAAAATAAAAATAACAACGGCTAGTTAAAAATTGTTTTCAACGGCTATTTAGTATTTACCGTCTATCACTATGTTTCATGTATTTCTTATTAGTCGTTCTGATTGACTTAAATATTTTGGTATGAAGTACAATAACAATATTGTTAATAATTATCTTTCAAAATCATAATAATTCATTACAACTCGTACTTGCATGTGAAGTGGAATATCAAAATTGTAATATACAAGGAATCTAAAAGCATATTACTTACTTGATGCAAACATTTACACCACCCAACTCTAGTTAAACGGGCCAGCCCTAGCGGGTTCCGGGCTAGCTCTAGCGGGGCTTCGAGCTAAACTGTCCGGGCCTAAAAAGCCCTGATTTAAACGGGCTACTAATAAAAGGACCTAACTCTCTTTTTTTTCCGGACTAAACGGGCCGGCCCATCGGGCCAAGGACCATTTAACATCTCTAGTGACAACCTTTTTAACATGTCCTCGCAGCCGGACGCTACATGTCAGACATCTCATATATATATATATATATATATATATATATATATATATATATATATAATAAGAATAGACTTAAATTAAATATAGTAAGCATTTCCCACCATTTTGCATTAATTACATCCTAATTATAGTAATTTTACACAATCTATACTTATATAAAAGGGGATCCTATTTACTACAAATAGTATCCAGAAAAGTCAACTGTAATTAATGCTATTACTACTTCCAGCATGTATTTTATTTAATTATTTTATATTGAAATTAATGTTATGCGATTCAATTAATGCTATTACTATTCCAATACAATTTATTTTTCTGCAAAAAACTTTCACAAAATCGGCTTTAATTTTTTGTATATTTGATATTTCCTTCTTATCTTCTATTTGTTTTATCCCATAAAATCTGTTTAGTCAACAAAATCCCATAAAATCGTTTTAAACTTTTTGTAGATTGAAATTGAAATTTCTTTTTTATCTTTTTAGCAAAAATTTTATTATTTATGTATTGAAATTCTGTAATCCGATTTCAGATTGTATCATTAAGAATATATTATAGTTATATTATCAAATCATAAAAAGATACTAAATCCATATTGTAAAAAAAAAAATAATTCATATAATTTTATAACAATTCTACTACACTATTTAACAATATTCCTTTTTATTATATAATAAAATAATAATTACATATTATATAGTAAACAACAATAAGTAAAATTGTTACTTTCTCTTATATGAAATGATAAATTTATATGCTAAAATTAAATTTTTATTAGTATAAATATTTTAGTGAGATAATATATTAATTATTTTACAAGCTAGCCCTAACATGCTTATATTCAATGTTCTGGCTAAAAAAAACAACGTTGGTTAAAAGATGTGGAAAAAAACTTATAATAACCCTATTGCTTTTTAGACTTAACGTTGATTAAAAGAGGTAGAAAATAGATAATAACCCTATTATTTTTTAGACTTAAACGGACAAGGGTGTGAAAATAACTCATTTAATACCCTATCCCGACTTAATAACTCTATTGTTTTTTAGACTTAACGTTGATTAAAAGAGGTAGAAAATAGATAATAACACTATTATTTTTTAGACTTAAACGGACAAGGGTGTGAAAATAACTTATTTAATATCTCTGTCCCGTGCATCGCACGGGGTACGTACTAGTTCTTAAAAAAACAAATCTCGAGCATTAATTGTAAATGAGTTTTAAATCCCCTTATCAACCAGATAGATTTATTGTTGAAGCATAATTGTAATTAAATACTATTTTCGTAATTTAACGCTAATTAAAAGATACTCCATAATATTTGATTAAACACTAAATCCGACTGTTTGGAATCAATTCAATTTGATTAAAAGCAGTATTATTATTTAGTATCTTTTTAAAACTAGTATCATTAAGGAATCAAATAATTTAACCACCATTCAATTTTTTTAATTCAATCTATATCTCTTTTTAGACTTATCAATTCATTTTAATATAATATAAATTTGCCGTAAAGAAACGAGAGTAGAACATTGCAATAATCATGGTATCAATATTAATTATATAAATGCTAACTAAAATTTAATTATTTGGACTGTACACTTTTTTATATACATATGAATAAACTGCATATTTGAACTTTAAATTTTTTAGTTTTTCACATATAGTTATGCAATTCATTCAACTTAAAAAAATATTGTAAAGATTTTATTTTAATGTATCGATTACAATTTAAAAATATTCAAATAATGTAGTCAAACTAATCATAACAAAGAATACAAAATTTATTCTTTAATGAAAATTAATTTACAAGTTTTTATATAAATATAAATAAATAGCATATTTCAATGCAATAATATTATTTGAATAGAATATAGTTATGCAATGTATACAACTTAAATAATAATTTAAAGGACAAAAATATATTGTAAATATTTCATTTTAAAGTTGTACAAAGAAAGTAATCAAATTGGTCATAAAACGAGACTAAAATAACAACAGATATACATAAAAAAATCCACTAATCAGAGTAACATGTGTTTTAAAAATCTATATATATAAAATAAGAATAAGATTAAATTTTCGAATTCGGTTATGTATGGTATTGAGAATTGCCCGTGTTTATTTGCTATTGTGACATGGCGTATTTGGCATGCGCGAAACTCATCTATATATATATAATTGCTAGCTAAGCAATAAATTTTATCTAATAAATAAAACCTAATAAATTTTACCTATGTGGCAAATCATTAATAAAACCTAATAAATAGAACCTAATAAATTTTATTTATGTGGCATTAATACACCCAATCTCATTAATAAGAAAATATTTCATTACATTTTTTGGGTTAATTAAGACAAAAACCATTATATTTTATGTTAATTGATTAATAATTATATTTTTTATTGAATAATATAATAGTTAATATTAAAATTAGTAATTATATTTTATACTAAATAATATATGAAAGTTACATAAAATTATATTTTACACTAAAATCAATATTTTTTTATATGATGAAGATGTTGTTTATTAATAAATTAATTTTTTTTATGTCATAGTAAAATTTCTTAAAATCACATAAGCAATTGTTATAATAAATGTAATATTTTTCAGCTAATTAATTGGTCATGATCACTCAAAATTATAAAAAGTATATATTTATTGCATTTTATGCAATCAATATAGTGATTCGTATACAATCAAATCGTGTGTACTATTTATTTTAACCAATGATCAAATTTTAAAATATAATACTATTATATAATTTATAATTTTAATGTTATATACATAAATATAACTTATAATACTATATGTTTGAAATATAATACAATTATATAACTTATAATTTTTATATTATATACATAAATATAACTTATAATATTTAATTTTATTTACATCTGTGCAAATGCACAGAGTCGAATACTAGTTTGTGTTTAACAGAGAAGTTTTTGAAGTACATCAGCGGATTTGCGAAATCAAAAAGCATGTGCGGAATATTACCGTAGCTAAGGCTCATGCGCGCCAGTGTGGGCCGAGTGGTGTTCATCGCGAATCTTGAATGATTCGTTGGATCCCGCCGCCGGAGGGTTGGGTGAAGGTCAATTCTGACGGATCCTTTAATCGGGAGACGGGTTTGGCATATGCTTGAAGCTTGATCCGTGACTGTTTTGGCCATTGGATCGAGGGGTTTGTAATGAATATTGGTTTCTTGACAATAACTAGCGCTGAACTATGGGGTTTATTCCAGGCTTTGTCCCTCGCCTGGTATTAGGGTTTTCGAAAGATCATTGCGTCAGTTGATAGCCAAAGCGTGGTAAAAATGATAGAGGGACAACATGGTGGCGTCGGTGCAAATGGTAACTTGATACACGGCATTCGGGAGCTCATAAGTAGAGACTGGGAGATACGTCTACGACATGATTGGCGTGAATCAAATT